TAGAAACTAGATCTGCAAGCTTCTCTTTGCTCCAAGCTCCTTAGACATCAAGGTCTCTTCATAAACTAAACCTTCTAGGCTTCTAAACATACACAAATGGAGAGTAGATGCGATTAAGGTTTGCTGAGCTCAAGGGGGACGGTAAGGGAGGCAGATGGAAGCTAATGACCCTTTAAATAGGGTGCAAGACTCTAGAAATTAGGGTTTTATCTTCCAGCTCCTACTCGTCGAGTAGACCACACAAATCATGCGGGCTGACTAAACTCTACATGATGAGTTGGGGCCTCTAACTTGTCGAGTAGGCTTCTTTAATTTCTTGAAATCCCTAAAATCTCATTCCTAGAAATCAGGATGTTACAACAAAGCTCTAAATCATAAGGACTAGAGGAAAATCCAAGAGAGGTAATGGTGGTGCTAAAGTTTTCAAACCAGGCATGAGGTACTTGTTTCAAACCGTATAAATCTTTTCGGATATGAAAAAACATGGCCAAATGGGAGAACCACACTACTTGTGGGATGCATGTAGACTTCCTCAGTGAGATCCCCATTAAGGAAGGCATTTTTTACATCTATTTGATACATAGACTAGTAACGAGCCGCTGCAATGGCAAGTAAACTGCACATTGATAGTATACAAGCAACTGGAGCAAAAGTCTCTTCTTAGTCAATTCTGTATTCTTGATGGAACCCTTTGACAACAATTTATGCTCTCTATCTATCAATGATGCCATTAGAATGTGTCTTTACTTTGTAAACCCATTTAGAGCCGATAAGAGACTTACCTAGAGGAAGCAGAACAAATTCCCAAGTTTGAGCTTTTTGTAAGGTGTGAAGTTCATCTTGGATAGCGTTCTGCCACAAAGGGTTGGTGGCAGCTTCCTTTAGGAGTTAGCTTCGTGACGAGACATAATAGTTGAATAACGTTCAAAATCACGAAGATGAGAAGGAATGTTTCTTACCTTTTTTGAACGTCTCAGTTGAGGTGGTGGATCTGAGGGTTGAGGATACATATTAGGAATAGCCGATTGTTCTATTTGACTTCGTACAGTGGAAGTAGATGATTCTGAATTCAAGGTATTAGGTTTAGTGGAATCTGAGTTATGTGAGTCGAGAGATACCGAGGGATCGGTAAAAAATGATTCGAAAGGAATCCGAGTTATGTGAACATCTTTTATTCCCAAAATGTGACATGAGAGATACGTAGCCATTTAGAGATAGGATCCTAACATTGATGCCCTTTATATTCAAGTTCATACCTGAGGAAGCAATACGAGGTTCGAGTTTCGATCATTCACAACGTTGTAGCTGAATAAAGTAGGAACAAACCCACACCCGAAGAAGATTGTATGTGATGGGTTTTCATACAAAATATAAGTTTTTTTTTTTGACAAAAACCATAACGGGAGACTTTAAAAATAAAAAGTTTATTTTTAGTTCATAAAAAAATAAAACCATCAAGGATCCATTTGTAGAGGGTATAATGAAATAAAAACAACCAAAGGGTTTTTAGAATGATAACCTTTGAAGCCTATAAACCCATTTGGTTTTGGGGTGTTGATGAAGATTGCAAAAAATCAAAGAGCATGATTTTTCTCTATGTGTATCCACCATCAAGAGTAAGGCACTTGGGATTCTAGTTCCTTATTGTATTCTTGAGTGTCTTAGGCCTTTAAGTTCTTAAATCAAATAAGCACTAAAGGAGACAACTCAACGAAGCTTTTAAACCATCAAACTAGCTTCAAGAGAGAGAGAGAGAGAGAGAGAGGGAGAGAGAGGGAGAGAGAGAGAGAGAGGGAGAGAGAGAGAGAGAGGAAGGCTCGAAAAACATTTGACCATATGCTTCTATTTGAGAGAAAATGCTCTAGACTCAAACAACTAGCTCTTAACTCATGCATAAGGCTTCCTTTTATACTCCCATGCAAGACATGCCTTTATATTAAATTAATATAAAGCACACTAACCTTTTAAGAAGCAAGGGGGACAAGATATCGAGGTTGACAAGCAACCTCCATTCCCTTTAAAAAATTCATCCATAACTTTATTAATAAGAAAGATTCTTCAGTTTTTATAAACTCTAATTTATTAAAATATAAACTTTGTCTTTAGGTAAAACACAAAAGAATCCAACTAGTCCAAAAGATTGTGCATGACTTATTAATTCATACCATATGAAATAATAACTGGCTATACTCTCTTATAGTTATTATTTTCACAAAAATAATTATTCCCTAATTAAAATACAAGAATTGATATTATTTATTAATAATCATATTAATAGTAAATATACAAAATGTGCCAAGTTGAGAAAGGTGTGACCCTATAGGATCACATATTATTAGCAATGTCACTCAATAATGGTTCTTGGGCATAGTAATTCAACAGTAAGCAGGGTAGATACCATGAAGAGGTTCATATTGGGACTTGTTTTGAAGAATAGGAGTAGGATGTCGATTAATGGTGTAAACCTTTGTGAAAGCTGCTTTGCCCCAAAATCGTTTGAGGACCTATGAAGAGACCAAAAGGGTTCGAATTGTGCCTAGAATGTAACGATGTTTTCTTTCAGCATGCCCACGTTGTTGGGACGTGCCCGAACATGAGTATCGAGACATGGAACCTTGTTGATGCAGAAAATAAAAAAGAGAAGACTCTTTGTATTCCATGGCATTGTCGACACAAAATAAATTTATAGATTTGGAGAATTGAGTTTGAACCATTTTTTAAAAATTGATATAAATGTTTGGTAATTCAGATCTATGTTGCATCAAATAGATCCAAGTAAAGGGAGTACTATCATCGACAAATATAAGAAAATATTGTGCACCTCCCATAGTGGAATGAGGTGTCGGTTGCCAAACATTAGAGTAAATTAGATCAAAAGATTGGGAAGAAGTGAATTCATTTGCATTAAAAGGTAAGGCATGATGTTTACCAAGTTCACAAGATATAGAAGAAAATGATGAAGGTTTAACAGTACCAAGTAATCCAGACTAGACAAGCATATTAAATCTCAACTAAGAAATATGACCTAATCTCGAATGCCAAATATCAAAAGATGAAAAATTGGAGTTAGAAGCAAAAAAATTGGAAAATGAAGGTGGGAGACAAAGGTAGATAACTTCAAACAATCTTCTAACCCTACGACCTATTTCAAGTGTCTCCCCAGTCCGCGGATCCTTCGCAACACAACCAAAAGGAGAAAATAGACAAATTAAGTCAGATTCACAAAGTTACCCAACTGAGACAAGATTGATACATTGGTTTGAGACATGGACCATCTGATTTACAACAATTGAGAAGTTGATATAATTCCACTAAATTGAATAGGTAAACGTGTCATGTGATTGAAACAGCATGAGTCATAAAACCGTATGTTACCTGAAGAACAGTTGGTTTCATTAACTCCCATTGATCCGGTCATGATGCATTCAATCAACTCCTGGTTCATCCTCATAAGTTCCATAATATCAATATTGGTGTTGGGAGTTATAGACTCATGTGTAATCGAACCAGCAACAACATTTGCATTAAGTGGTGGACGTTGGGATTTAGATGACTTAGTGTGACAAGGATGCTTTGGACAATCTGATCCATAGTGTTTTGGGTGTTTAACCTCGCACCACTTGCACGAGCGAACCGAACAATTTAGAAGGAGGTGTGATGTAGACTTACAGAAAGAACATTCACTAGAGTTCCATTTATTTGCAGATTTCCTTTTTTTTTTTGGAGAAGAAACGTGGAAAATAGTGTATGATAAAGTTTGAGTATGGGACCTGGTTTGATTTTCCTGACTTATGAGTTATGAAATGGCAACATCAAGTGTGGGGAGTGGGTGTCTGTGAAGTAGGGATGAACACTGCTAGAAACTTGACCATTAGCGACGGAATCAACTACAAATTTTATCCATAGCTAATCAATGACAACTTACCAAGGGATCAACGATGGAATACACAAAAATTTCGACTAGCATACTTATATAATTTTAGAGAGGTATTTATGAGGGATCTTCGACCGATTGCTAATATTTTCTCGACAAAAACATTTCATCGTTAATCCGTCTCAAATTAAAACCTCTCAGCGAGGGAATAACGATGGATTGCTAAAAATCATAGCCTGGCCCTCGCAAATCGATCGCAGAAAATTGACGCCTCATTTTTTCATTCTCCGCTTTTCTTCTTTTCTCGTTCCCTGGTTTATTTTCATTCCGACATATTTCTTTCCCAAAGCCCTAATTGACCCTATGTCGACTCAAATCCATCTCACATCCTCTTTGGCTTCCCTATCGATTCGTCTCCATTCCTCATTGACTCATCGTTTCCCAGCCAACGCCATTCAATCCTCTATTGTCTGATCAGATCTCCTACTATAACTGCTCAGCAATCACCAACCGAAGAGGAAGGAGAGTTGACTCTCAAATCTGTTCGAGTCACGTTTCCGATCATGGCAATTAGGAAAAATCTGACCACAACTAATCACCACCATCATTTAGAGTCAATGGTGACTCGCCCGTCAGGTGTCGACAAGATACCAAAGCTGAATGCGGTGATACTTGGCGAGTCTCTTGCATCCGAGGAGGACGATCTTGTTTTTCCTAGTCACGATTTCTCCTAACAGGCACATGTACCATCTCCTCAAAAGGTATCATCCTCAAAAATGATCAATAGCAGATCATCTGCATATATTATTTGATTTCGTCAGAAAAATAGAGTTGGTGTCGAGTCATATACATAAGTTTTGAACTATAAAGGCGATAGTCTAGTTTTGATTATTGAGAAATGATTGATGGCTACATAAACATGTAGAACTAATATTTCAATGAGAAAATATTTTGACCTAACAAGAACAAAGAGGACAAAATTCAATTTGAAGTCTTCTACTTTGGATTTTCAAAATACAAAGTGAACTTTAATCACAAGAAGGAAACAAGTCTTATTCTATGTTCTTTTTAATAAACATTTCCATCATATAATCGATGATTTGGGGCACCATTTCAGTACTTGGAGATGTACAACAGATCAATTGAAGATCCTGGTGGCTTTTGGTCTGATATTGCATCAAAATTCTATTGGAAAGAGAAATGGGGTCAACAGGTTTACTTAGAGAATCTTGATGTTACAAAAGGGAACATCAAAATTGAGGTAAACAATACTTTTATCTTTCTGACATCTACCTCTTTCATCTTGTATCACACACCTAATCAGCCATTGGTCATTCCTATCTATCTACTTTGTGGTTCAAGGGTGGCATCACCAACATCTGTTATAACTGCTTGGATAAAAACAGAGTCTAGGAATTGCAATAAAGTTGCACTTCATTGGGAAGGAAATGAGCCTGATGTTGATGGCTCATTAACTTACAGACAACTGTTTGAAAGAGTCTGCCAGGTATGATGCGTTTACATACTTGAGTGTACATGTTAATTATCAAATGGGTTAAGATCACAGAATATTACTTACTAGAGAAACCATAATTGTAGCTTTTTAAAGCTTTTGCAAACCAAAAAGCTTTTGAGAAATGAAAAAGCTATTGGATGAGCTTTTTCAAAGAACTTGTTAATTAACAAGCTCTTGCAATGAGATTTTTTTAATTATTCTGTATTTCCCATATTGTAGATGCTAGTCCTTACACTTACATGCCGCATAGACGCCATGTCAGCAAAACTTAGTTGTATACCTGTTAACGAGTGACCTACTTGTAACATTCTTGTAAATACAATGACTTAGTACGTATGAAAAAAGGTAGGACAAATCAAAAAGTACATTGCAATCCTATGACCTTAACTGTTATTAAATTGTTTTCTTTTCCAGCCATTTTGATAAATTTGGTGAAATTATGGATTATGGACAAATCAAATATTTTTATGATTATTATGGTTTCCAATGTGCTCCAAATGTTGAGTGGTTGTTTTTTTCAATAATTACTAAATCTTTTTAGTTTCATAAAGTTATCTGCTTTTAATTTTGGGATTGTTGGACTTTTGAATTTTTTATCTTATGCTCTATATTAGCATAGATTTCTTTCATCTTTTAATTCCAAATATATAGTTCATGTGCATAATCTTGTATATTTTGGAGTACCTTGTATTCACCTTATCTGTTCTATGGCACATTTTAAAATCATTTAATGTAAATTGAAGTTCTTCATTTATATATCAAACAGTTTATCTTTATTATAAAACTTTTTGATGAATTTGTTATTCATTGATTCATTCACCCCTCCTTGATGTTGTATGCAATGTTGGAAGGGCTTTTTGTTGAGCTACCATTTGCAACTTTTTTCATGCAAAAATTTCTTTTTTCTTGATGATATCTTTAGCTTTTCATGTTAACTACATTTTCAGTCCTCCTGTTGTCTAAAAGTTCCATGTATGCATACAAATTTCACACTCAAAGGATGTAACCTTTTAGCATTCCATATCAACTTTCTATTCAATACAAACAAAAAGTAATTAGGAATAATAGAAATAAAAAAAGGACACAAGAAAGTAGCCAAATTATAGGTTTGATTGTGATGACTATTTTCTTTAAATATGATAATTAAAATAATGGGATGCCCTTTGCAGAAATTTTTGATGTTTCCCTGTTAATATAGTAAAACTTTTGGGCTTTTTTCACAGGAGAGTAGTTTCTTGAATATATATATATATATATATATATATATATATATATATATATATATATATATATATATATATATATAAACAGAGAATTACTGAACAAGCTGGTGTTGTTTTGACACTTGATCCTAAGCCAATTGAGGTAATCAGTAATCGAGTTTTTGTGTGTTGACTTTTTTTTATCAGATATTATAATGTACATTTTATTTATTTATTTATTTTCTTCTTGACAGGGAGACTGGAATGGAGCAGGATGCCACACTAACTACAGGTACTTGTTTTTTTATTTTATTTTTGGTTGGATGGAATGGAATGGACCTTTCCACATCATTTTTATTACATTAAAATTCACTTACATTTTCCTTTCAATTTTTACAGCACATTCAGCAAAAAGGCGATTCTCAACCTTTCCCTTTGCCACTCAGACCACATCAGTGCTTATGGTGAAGGAAATGAAAGAAGATTGACAGGAAAACACGAAGCTGCCAACAACAACACATTTTCGTAGGTATCTAAAACCATAAAAAAAAATTATACCAAATTCAAAAAAATGTAAAACCAATAAAAATTCATGCTTTTAAATATCATTCATCTGACAGGGTGTTGCTAACCATGGTTGCTCAATCCGTGTGGGGCATGACACTAAGAAGGCAGGCAAAGGTAAAATATAATGTTACTCGATCTTCTTTATTAAGTTGTTCTTTCTGTATTAAGTCAAAAAGAAACACATCTATATATAGCTTACTAAATTGAGAACTACTTGATGAATGTGTTTCCATGGTTTGTTGTGTGTAGGTTATTTGGAAGACAGGCATCCAACATCAATCATGGATCCATACACAGGGACTGGATTACTTGCAGAAACTACTCTCCCGTGGGAGCCTACTCTTGAGGCTGAAGCACTTGCTGCTCAGAATTACCTTGTTTTTTTTATATATTTTTTGGTCGGAATTGGAATTCAATTCCATTCTTGTCCTGTATTTAGTTCGCCTAATTTCATGGGAATCGGAATCCAATTCCATTATGGTCCTTTCGGATGCAATGCAAGATATGAAGCAATGGAGTATATGTATGTGAAAATGCAAAATATGAGACGAATTAAGATTATGGTAAACATTGATATTTGATGTTTTTGGATGTTTTGTTAAACTTTGATATTTGATATTGGCATTTTAATATTAGTGTTTGGTTTTGGATTGTATAATTATTTGATTCATCGGGTAATAAATTGTTATTGTTTAGTTTGGGATTGTATAACTATTTGATATTTTTAGTATTTTTTGTAATAAAAAATTAATATTATACATTTGCTAGGGATCAGCGACAGAAACAAAAAAAATCACATCTAAAAATTGCGACTGGTCAGCGACGGAATGTAAAGAGACAGATTTAGAGGTTTGCGAGGGATTAGCGACATAATATTTTTGTTACTGATGTCCTAAATAACAGTATTATGGGACTAATTTGCGATGGATATTCCGTTGCTAAAGTCGTCGCAAGGAAAAACTTGTCCATCGCTAAATCTCTAGATAAGTCATTAGCCACGTTAAATTTGGATATGGACTAACTCTGTCACAGATCCGTCGTAAAAGACCTTTAGTGACGGTATTCATCCGTCGCAAAAACCCACATTTCTAGTAGTGGAACATGCATTCTCAAATTTGCCAGTAAGACCCATATGGAGAGTGATGAGGTGCAACTGACAAAAATAAGCTCTAAATTGATCGGATGTTTCATAAAGAGATCTGAGGGACTGCAACATTAAGTTGATCACAAATTACTTGCATCTCTGAAACACAAGACTAACAGATTGATCGGGTTGTTGTTGTTTTCTTTGAAAAGCCGACGACAATTGGTATTGATGAGAAAGGCCAGTGGTTGTAAAGAGTTTGGCTAAGAGATCCCATACCTGTTTTGTAGTTGTGTACCCAAGAAATTGTTGGTGAACCTCTGTTGTAGTGGAGGCAGTAAAGAAACTAATAATTTTAGCATTCTTGATGTCCCAGTCATCACTTCATTTTGCAAATGCAACATTACTCCCGTTTATATTCCTAACGGAAACATTAGTAATACCTGTCACGTAGCTTTAAAGTCCAAGGGACTTAAGATGGATTGTTATGTAATGATGTCGCATCATGTAGTTGCTACCATCAAGGACCACTAAGATATGTCAGGTCTGTACTAGAGAGTTTTGAACAATTTTGAACAATTTTGAACCAACATTTAGATTAAAACAAGACTGAATTGTACGTCCTAATGATGGACTTGAAGGGTATCCCAATTGAGTCGATTAAGAGGTGTTAATCCAAAATTTAGGGATTGAATGTGAACAAAAAATACCTACAACTCTGATACCATGTGAGGATTTGTGAATCATATCCATTGATCAAGTGTAAATCATAGTTAAGTGTAGTTAGAGCTAAAGAAGTCGTCGATTGTGTATATACTAAACTGATATGAAGCGTACAAAATAAAAGAACATATAAACCTAGCAGAATAAACTAATTATATGAATACCTACTAATAATGGTAATATAAAATTATAAACCATAACAATCAGGGTTAATAATCCGGGAATAATATACGTTAATAAATAAAATATACGTTATTTTCCTCGAAAATATGTGTTTTATGTTCCGAACTTAAACGTCAAAGTTGCACGTTGGAGTCATAAGTTCCGGTCGCTAAAGTATCGTGAGGGTCTCTATTTCCATCTATTTAAAGGTATGGAGATCATATATTTCGGTTTGTTAGATTATTGCAATGTAGTTGTTGGGGTTCTTCCAATTGTAGGTCAATCCTTATGTCAAGATTTGATTATGTTTCCAAACAACACCATATCATTAAGTCATCCGATGTCGATTTTGATTGTCGGTGCTTTATCATCCTTATCGTCAATTCTTCGTCTATTGTAACAACGTAATTTTTTTTCCAACCAAAATTTTCATTTTTAAATTAAAGTAAAACATATATCACATTTTTCCAAAAATCTCAAGTAACAATTATCCACAAAAATTTCAAAACATTTATTCGAAATCCCAGGTGATCACTCCTTCTCCATGTAGGTGTACAATCATGTTGGTGCCTTTCTGCGGTCCTCGGAAGTACCTGAAACACATAACACATAATACGGTAAGCATAATTTTTTTAGTGAGTTCCCCAAAATACCACACACAACTCATTAGCCAATCGAGGCTATAACTCAATAAGAAGCTCTGGTCAATTTGTCTCAGTGCGAACCTCCGGTCCCATTACTCAGGTTGGATCCTCTGATCCCTCTAATCAATACTTAAATAAACATAGCATGCATATCATAAGCAATAGTAGAATATCTCAATAAAATTAACATGATATCTTAAACATAGAGTATGCACATAAGATCCTCCGGTCACACATAGTTTACCACTCAAGGTAAGTATAGTGAAAAGACTCACCTCGCGACTAGTAGGAAATAGATACACACTTGACAATCCGGACTAGCCTTCACCTAACACATTAAACGAGCATCTCAATTAATAACACATTTTTACTCTTTCCAACTATAGCCCTTTTTGCTCATTCTCTAACCCTTGGGATGGGTAAAAGACCGTCTACCCCTCCAGATTTCCCAAAAGCTCCTAATTGACCCACACACGAAGTCAACAGACCAGGTTGACCTGACTCGCCGAGTTCACCCATGTGACTCGCCAAGTCCAAACATATTTCTCATTGTTCTCACCAGGATTCATTCTGCTTAATGAGTTGACCCCCAACTCGATGAGTTATCTCTGGGTCCATGGTACTGGCTCGAACCCAATACGACTCGTTGAGTCATCTCATAGACTCAGTGAGTCGTCTCCATTACATCACTCATATGATCTCCTGAGGTCAGATCTGGAACTCTAGCTAATAGATCTGTCCTTCTAGCATCCAAAAGTCACGTGAAGGTCTGAACTTGGGGTACATTCATGGTGTATATTGCTCTATATATCATTATGACTCCATTAAAGCTTCATAGCTACCAAGCTCCAAGGTTACTCAGTCATGGCTTTCTAGTTTCTCTTTCTCTGGACCTCACAAGGCCCAGATCTATAGAATAACTTGAAAAAGGATTTAGATGCACCCAAAACCCCATCAAAATGGTGATACAAGCCCTAACTTTACAACCAAAGGAAATCTATTCAATCACACAGAAGGAAAGAGCTTATACCAGATCTGAAGCTTGAAATGAAGATGAAACTGATCCACAACTCTCCTCTGAGATCCTTGCAACACCCTTGATCTTCTTCTCAAAGAAATGACCTCAAATTACCCTCTTCCCCTTTCATGCTCACAAATGACTCTTGGGTTTTTCTCAGGGGATGAATGGAACTGATGGGGGGGGGGTGTTAAGGAGGCTATAGGTGTCTTTAAATAGGCCCAGGCCCGAGAAAATTAGGGTTTCTATCTCCAGCACTGACTCGTCGAGTCGTCTCATCGAATCGTCGAGTCCACTCATTAATCCTAGTCTTCAGCCGCGACCCTACTCGACGAGTTGAGGCTCCAAATCGTCGATCCATCCACAATTTCTCAACTTAAACTATTAAAATAATACACCTGGAAAACCGGATGTTACAATTCACCCCCACTAGAATTAGACTTCGCCCTCGAAGTCTTGCTCTGCAAATAGCTCCGGATGCTGCTCCCGCATCTCTGACTCTGGCTCGCAAGTCAAATCGGATCCCTTCCGATGCTGCCACTGGACCTATACCAGGGATACTTCCTTATTCCTGAGGACCTCCATCTTTCGTTCTAAAATCGCAATTGGTCTTTCAACATAATTCAGGTGTTCATCCACTTAAATTATCTCCAGAGGTACAATTGACGTATCATCTGCCATACTATTCCTCAATTGGGACACATGAAAGGTGTTATGGATCTGACTCAATTCTCCGGGTAGCTCTAGTCGGTAGGCTACTCTGCCAACACTGGCAATTACCCTAAAAGGTCCAATGTATTGGGGCCCTAGCTTGTCCCTCTTTCTGAATCGGATCACCCCTTTCCACGGGGATACTTTCAGTAGCACAAAATCTCCAACTTGGAACTCCGTCCGCATAACTCTTCTGGCGGCTGTGGGTCGTTAGTAATCTCTGTGTAATCTTCTAAATCTGTTCAGTCGTCTTGAGTACTATCTTAGTGCCACCTATCACTCTCTATCCTACCTCCCCCTAACAAATAGGAGTTCGAAACCTCCTCCCATATAACAGCTCGAAAGGAGGCATACCTATAATCGAATGGTGGTTGTTGTTGTAAGAAAACTCAGCCAAAGGCATTATGTGTCCCAACTTCCTCCAAAGTCCAAGAAACAAGCACACAACATGTCCTGGAGCGTCTAAATCGTCCGCTCGCTCTGTCCATCTGTCTGCGGGTGGTACGCGGTACTGAAATGCAGATGCGTGCCCAACTCCTTGTGAAATTTCCTCCAAAATCTAGAGGTAAAACACATGTATCTGTCTGACACTATTGAAACTGGCACCCCATGCCGAGACACCACCTCCTTCACGTAAATCTCTACTAATTTCTCCGCCGAAGAGCTCTCACTAATAGCAAGGAAGTAAGCACTCTTCGTCGATCGATACATGATCACCCAAATCGCATCGACTCCCCGCACTGTCCTCGTTAAATTGGTGATAAATTCCATGGAGATATGTTCCCACTTCCACTGGGGAATCTACAGAGGTTGTAATGGACCATGTAGACGCTGGTGCTCTACTTTGACCTGTCGGCAGGTCAAGCATCTCTCAACTTCTCACGCAACATCCCTCTTCATATAGGGCCACCAATAATCCCTCTTCAAGTCTAAATACATCTTAGTGGCCCCCGGATGGATCGAGAATATCGACTTGTGCGCCTCCTCCATCAATACACGTCGAGCTCCGCCCGTATAGGGCACCCAAATCCACCCTCAGAAAGTCATAAGCCCTCGACTATCCGTTACAAACTCGGATACGTGGCCAATCAGCCACTCACTCTTGCGGTTTTCTGGTCTCACGATCTCCACCTGGGCCTCCCAAATGGTATACAAGACTGGAGTCATCACTGTCATCCTCATACATATATCTCGGATCGGAGCACACTCTGCTCTATAGCTCAGGGCATCAGCTACCACATTATCCTTATCCGGATGATATGAAATCTCACAGTTATAATCTTTCACCACATCCAACCACCTCCACTGACTCATATTCAGGTTGGGCTGATCCATAAAATATTTCAGAATCTTATGGTATGTGTATATGGTACACTAGACTCCGTACAAATAGTGACGCCAAATCTTGAGG